GGAGGAGAAACAGGGAAGCCCCGCCCGGCCTCCTCTGACGCCGCTCACCCGCCGGTGGCTGCCGGGCAGGCGCCGCCGCCGCCGCCTGTTGTTTTCCTTCCCGGGCCCCGGTGGGGGCGACGGCGACGCCTCCATGCCGGATCGCCCCGGACCGCAGAGGCGCACTTGGCTACCCAGACCTCCACTGGCTGCTACCCTTTGTGTGTTGCCCAAAAGGCATTCCTGAAGCCCACCGCCTCGTCGGCCGCGCGGGGCCTCCTGTAGCTTATACGGGTCCCTTGACCGGGTGCAGGCAGGGCCGTCTATTGAGCGAGGAGAGGAAAGGGGAGGAGGAGGAGGAGGAAAGAAGAAGAGAAGCGGCTTGGGCGCCCAGGAGCCGCAGTGTCCCGCAGAGACCGGAGGGCACTTCCTGCCACGTGCCTCGGAGAAGGTGGGGGGAGTGGGGGGGTGGCGGCGGCGGCAGAGGCGAACTGATGATGATGATGATGATGTGATGCCTCTGGGCTCCGTGTCAGTCTTGCCGTCCTTGATGGAAGGCGAATGCGGGTGCGACGACATTAAAGGGGGATAACGTTCGTTAAGCCTCGCTCACTCTTATTTGAGATTTAATTTCTTAAACCCTTCCAGGGAAGGTGTTATGGGGGGTTAAGGTTAAGGCCATGCGATGGGAAGTCTCTTCGTCCACCTAGGTCAGTCCTGTTTACTCAGCCGGTTGCATATTCCCTGTGGTCCCAAGCAAAGATTTTTTTTTCCCTATGGTTCTTTGGAGATCGGAAGAATTATACTTGGGGCCTTCAGGTGGAAAAAAACATATACCCTACCACAGAACTACAGGTTTAGAAAACGCAAATGCATGTGCTTCATGTAGGTGTTGTGCTCTGCTGTTCCTTTTCCAGCACAGAGATCGTGGACCGTTCAAGCATTTGCAGGGTGACGTCTCCTACGGGTCCATCCCAGCCAGCTGATGAATGGCCAGTTCACCTCAGATAGGTTTGTGCTCCAAAGAACAGCATAGTTACGTCATTGGGGCCTGCATCTGAGTTGCTGAGTGTCCGTAAGGAAATAATATTCACACTTGGTAAATCTGATGCAGGCCACAACTAGCTATGCTCTGGTGGTAACTCAGTGGATCAGTCTTCCAAACAGTGCACTACTACAGCATGAATCTTGACAGTGAAGTTAGGTTACGGCTGGCAAAGTGGGTTAAACATGCAAGGTTATTCTAACTTTCAAGTACTGTACTCATCATCACCAGTGCAAGGATCTCTACACAACTAAACGTTTGTGGGAAGTCTTGCCCTTCTATATGACCCCTGGAGCATGCCAGGCACCAAGGAAACCATAAAGCATCCTCATTAGGCAATGTGACAACTGCACCCTGGCTATTCAAGGAATCATCAGAGAAATCAGTCTGGGGTTCATATAATCTTTGAGAACTGCTAAATGCCCTCAGTGAGGTAGAAACACATGTCTACCATTGTTGTTGTTTAGTTGTTAAGTCGTGTCCGACTCTTCGTGAGCCCATGGACCAGAGCACGCCAGGCCCTCTTGTCTTCTACTGCCTCCCGGAGTTGGGTCAGATTCATGTTGGTAGCTCATCCTCTGTCGGCCCCTTCTCCTCCTGCCTTCACACTTTCCCAACATCAGTGTCTTTTCCAAGGAGTCTTCTCTTCGCATGAGATGGCCAAAGTATTGGAGCCTCAGCATCAGGATCTGTCCTTCCAGTGAGCACTCAGGGTTGATTTCCTTCAGATCAGCTAGGTTTGATCTCCTTGCAGTCCAGGGGACTCTCAAGAGCCTCCTCCAGCACCACAATTCAAAAGCATCAATTCTTCAGTGGTCAGCCTTCTTTATAGCCCAACTCTCACTTCCGTACATCACTACAGGGAAAACCAGAGCTTTGACTATGCTTTGACTTTGTCGGCAAGGTGATGTCTCTGCTTTTTAAGATGTTGTCTAGGGTTGTAACCGCTTTCCTCCCAAGAAGCAGGTGTCTTTTAATTTTGTGGCTGCTGTCACCATTTGCAGTGATCATGGAGCCTAGGAAAGTAAAATCTGTCACTCCCTCCATATCTTCCCCTTCTATTTGCCAGGTGATGTGACTAGTGGCCATGATCTTAGTTTTTTTTGATGTTGAGCTTCAGACCATTTCTTGTGGTCTCCTCTTTCACCTTCAGGCTTGGGATTCCTCCAGTCTTGCCTTTCGCATGATGTATTCTGCATATAAGTTAAAAAAAGCAGGGAGACAGTATACAGCTTGTTTTACTCCTTTCCCAGTTTTGAACCAATCAGTTGTTCCATATCCAGGTCTAACTGTTGCTTCCTGTCGCACGTATAGGTTTCTCAGGAGATAGATGAGGTGGTCAGGCACTCCCATTTCTTTAAGGACTTGCCATAGTTTGCTGTGGTCCACACAGTCAAAGGCTTTTGCATAGTCAATGAAGCAGAAGTAGATGTTTTTCTGGAGTTTTCTCTCCAGTATCTTTGCCAAGAAAACTCCATGGACAGAAACAATAATGTCTACCACGGAACCTGCCTTATAGTGAATCATTCTGTGGTGCTGAATTAATTGTGTGCTGTCACCTAAGCCATGGGTGATGTGATTGCCAGTTCCAAGAAACAGGGATGTGGGAGGCAATGTATGTAGAAAAGAGAGTGCTGTAAGAGGACCTTTAGAAAGAGGATACATCATCAAATGAACAATCTCCCCCTCTGGGATTAGGGATCAATAAGGGCCAGGAGAGGGAGAGCACAACCTGGAGAACAGTCAAAATCGACCCTTACTCATACCTCCACTCTAGAGTACTGACTCTTTTGACCAGTTCACAGGGTGTAAAATGAACGACATTAATTATATCATTAAGGAAGGTGGAGACCCAGGCAGGAGGGTGGTCCATGTGAATATGATCAAGCCATATTATAGGGAGGAGAACAGAGTGCTGTTTGCCATGAAGGAAGCTGACAATGAGAAACATGACTTACCCTATTGGGAAGGGAGGGGGAAAGCAAGATATAACCATGAAGATGTCAAAATTAGCCCTGTACTTTCCCATGAGCAACAAAGGGAATTGAGGGCCTTGGTTACAAAGTACCAACAGGTTTTCTCAAGCAAACCCAGGTTAGCCAAGGGAGTGGTGCACAAGATTGATACAGGAGATGCACCCCCACAAGCAGTTACTCCATATAGAGTTACTGGGCCATATGTTGATAAGGTGCGCAAGGAGCTACAGGATATGTTGAAAGAAAACATCATTGTTCCTTCATCCAGCCCTTGGTCTGCTCCTATAGTCTTGGTTGACAAGCCAGATGGCAGTATTCGGTTTTGTGTGGACTATAGAAAGCTGAACCATGTAACCAAGCCGGATGCATATCCTATGCCCAGATTAGACAACCTGATAGAGACCATAGGGGGATGTCAATATATTTACTGCCTAGATCTAACAAAAGGATTTTGGCAAGTGAGAATTGACCCCAAAGATCAGGAGAAGAGCCTTTTGCAGCCCTTTTGGTTTATACGAGTTCTGTGTCCTGAGTTTTGGGTTAAGAAACTCACCAGCTACTTTCCAAAGACTTCTGGACAAAACTTTACAAGGGCTTAGCAACTTCACAGTGGCTTACATTGACGATATAGGGATCTTTAGTCACACCTGGAAAGATCACCTTTGTCACTTAGAGATAGTGCTGCAAAGATTGAATGCAGCTGGGCTAACAGTGAAAGCGTGCAAATGCCAGCTGGGTAGCCCCGAATTGAAGTACTTGGGTCATGTAGTAGGGGGGAGGTAGGATCAAACCCCTAGAAGCCAAAGTGGAAGCTATTAGTAACTGGCCTAGACCCACCACCAAGAAAAAGGTCAGATATTTTCTTGGGCTGGTAGGCTATTATAGAAGATTTATTCCTAGATTCAGCAAGATAGCAGCTCCAGTAACTGACTTAACACGCAAGAAGAGTGTTGACAGTATCCAGTGGACCAGTAGCTGCGAGGAGGCGTTGGGGAAGCTGAAGGAGGCGTTGATAACCAACCCAGCCTTAAGAGCTCTGGATTTCCAGCGCGAGTTTACCATCTTCACAGATGCATCCAACTCCGGGTTAGGAGCTGTGCTGTGCCAGAGTGACGACGGCGGAGATCTTCATCCAATGGCGTACCTGAGCAAGAAGCTGCAGGGAGGCGAGAGACACCTGCCCACCATCGAAAAAGAGTGTTTTGCTATCGTGTATGTGGTTCAGAAACTTAAGCCATATATTTGGGGAAGATATTTTGTCTTGTGTACTGACCATTCCCCACTATTGTGGTCAAGGACTATCAAAGCCAACAACAGCAAGCTGATGAGATGGGCTTTGATCCTGCAGGACTTTGATTTTGAGGTTCGAGTAATTAAAGGGACTCAGAACGGTGCTGCAGATGCCCTCTCTAGAAGACCAGAAGACTAAAGAAGAAAAGAATGGACTCTTAGAATGGTGAAAGTAATAAAAGTTGGATGTGCATGTACCCATTGATAAATGTTATTTGTTTTGTAAGCAAAAGAAATTTTATGTAAGTATTTTAAAATATTATATTTTATTATTAAGTATATGCCTGAATGAACATTGGAAGTGGTAAGGTATGGCAACTAGAGTGTAAGATTAAAGTATAAAATGCAGGTAAGATGTTTAATTAATGTTGATTTAAATGTTTGGTAAGTGTTATGGTATTAATGGGATAATGTAATGTTGTTTTGCTCCTCGTTGTTCATGAGAGGAAAGCACTTTAGCTTTTCCCCCATGAAACAACTTGTTAAGGGGGAGGTATTGTAACATTCAGCTCTGCTCTCACCTGTCCGTCACAGCTGGGCAGTGGAACATCAGCCAATGAAGGGACGGAGGGGGGTGCAGAAGGGGGAGGAGCTGAAATATAAAAGGGGTGTGTGAGGTGTGAGAGGGTTAGATGGAGAGATTGAGTTGGAAATTGAGATGGAGAGCTGGAGAGTTAGTGATTAGCATGTATGTAGGCATGTGAGCCAAAATAGTCAGTGAGGAAAAGTCTGTGTGTGTTAGTGAATGAGAAACCGTGATTATCTACCTGTGATTTACTCATTTTATTTTGTTATTCCAATAAATACATTTTGTTTTGGAAGAAACACTTGTCCTTTTTGAATATTGAATCATAATTGGTGGCAGCAGTTGAAGAGAAAGAGTAATGAGCACTCCTGGAGGCCTGAGTAGGTTGAGGCTTCAGAGTGTTCATCAGATTGTCTAAATAAGATATTACATTCTCAGGATCAGATTCTTGAATCTTCTCCCAACTTCGAGTAAGTCAAGGGGTCCTCTCACTTTTCTCCCAAACAGCAACTCAAAAGTTTTATCATGGCTATTCCCCTGCCTTTGTCAAACATCACATCTTTGATAGAAATCTTTAATCTGCTTTCCCATCTCAGGCCAGTAGAAATTTT